TGATTTGCCAGGTCCCTCCACATGAGGCTGGGCACACACCTTACAACGATCGCAAGACTTTTGTCTTGCGATGGCTGTAAGGTACTTAAAAAAACGTACGATCTGCCTATGTTGCATAGGCAGATCGTACTTGCGATGATCGCAAGCCACACCCCCCTGAGGGGCGGGCTTCCGATGACCGCAATGCCGAACGGGCAGTGTGCGCTTGCGCACACCGGCCCGTTTGGCTGTTATCATACGGACATGCCACAAACCCGCCGAACGTCGTACGATGCTCGGCGGGTTTTCGAACATGTCCGTAAGTTTAAAGTCGTGCGACCTTACAGTAGTAGAGGTCGCACGGCTTCCACACCTTACGATAATCGTACGATCGCGGGATTTCCCACGATTATCGTAAGGTGTGTGGGCACCCTAAGAGATCTGCTTATCTGGCCTGTGATCTTTACTGCCCAGCACTAGTGAGAGTCCCAAATCACCTCTAACCTTTTATAGCTGTCCCTAATTAAAGGCATGTCACCAGGCACTCCTCTATTACCAGTGGACAAGTTGATAAACACCAGCAGGTCTGGTAGAGGTAATGACCCAGGTGACCACGCATTCACCCGAAAGTCATAAACCTGAGTACAATATCAGCTCCATTTCATCATTTGGGATTGGGCGGTGATTGTGTAAAATAAAGGTTCATCCTCCACCTGCTCTCCCTCCCCAGCCGTGCCCTAGGGGCCGGCTCCCTGACACCCCCTAGAGGGCTAACAAAAAGATCCTGCCGAGGCAGCTAGAGAGGCTCTTGTTTTGAAACATCAAGGAGTCTTAACATCGCAGAAGAGTTCCCCTTTAATCTCTGGACATTATCTGCTGAAAGCTTGCTTGAAGAAGAGCCCTTCAGACTTCTCTTTTGCTTAATGAACTCTGTCAGAACTGTTGAGTATTCACCTTTTATTTTACTGTTGTATATATACTTTGCCTCTTTTTATGAATATCTTTTTCTGTACATTTTCTTCACTGTTTCTTTTATTAAAGGCCGATCTTAAAAATCGTTAAGCTTATCTCTACGCTCTGAATACGAACTTAAAGTATCCTTGCTCTCTGAAGAGCGCTACTGTATAGTGAATCCTGTCATATTCCTTTCTGAGAGGACAGCTGTGCTGTCTGGAAACATGGAGCTAGCTTCCCGTGCGATCAGGAAGCTGGGTGAGGAGTAATGACCCGACTCCTGGCTTCCTGATCGGCCGGGAAGCTGGCTTCTTGGCCAATCAGCATAGTCAGCCGAACAGCCGGCTCCATCCCAATTGGCTGGGAAGGCGGCATTCCAGCCAATCAGCATCAAGCCGGCTTCCCGGCCAATCAGCCATAAAGCTTCTCTTCTCAACCGTTTCCGCCGAACGTCGTACGATGCTCGGCGGGTTTTCGAACATGTCCGTAAGTTTAAAGTCGTGCGACCTTACAGTAGTAGAGGTCGCACGGCTTCCACACCTTACGATAATCGTACGATCGCGGGATTTCCCACGATTATCGTAAGGTGTGTGGGCACCCTAAGAGATCTGCTTATCTGGCCTGTGATCTTTACTGCCCAGCACTAGTGAGAGTCCCAAATCACCTCTAACCTTTTATAGCTGTCCCTAATTAAAGGCATGTCACCAGGCACTCCTCTATTACCAGTGGACAAGTTGATAAACACCAGCAGGTCTGGTAGAGGTAATGACCCAGGTGACCACGCATTCACCCGAAAGTCATAAACCTGAGTACAATATCAGCTCCATTTCATCATTTGGGATTGGGCGGTGATTGTGTAAAATAAAGGTTCATCCTCCACCTGCTCTCCCTCCCCAGCCGTGCCCTAGGGGCCGGCTCCCTGACACCCCCTAGAGGGCTAACAAAAAGATCCTGCCGAGGCAGCTAGAGAGGCTCTTGTTTTGAAACATCAAGGAGTCTTAACATCGCAGAAGAGTTCCCCTTTAATCTCTGGACATTATCTGCTGAAAGCTTGCTTGAAGAAGAGCCCTTCAGACTTCTCTTTTGCTTAATGAACTCTGTCAGAACTGTTGAGTATTCACCTTTTATTTTACTGTTGTATATATACTTTGCCTCTTTTTATGAATATCTTTTTCTGTACATTTTCTTCACTGTTTCTTTTATTAAAGGCCGATCTTAAAAATCGTTAAGCTTATCTCTACGCTCTGAATACGAACTTAAAGTATCCTTGCTCTCTGAAGAGCGCTACTGTATAGTGAATCCTGTCATATTCCTTTCTGAGAGGACAGCTGTGCTGTCTGGAAACATGGAGCTAGCTTCCCGTGCGATCAGGAAGCTGGGTGAGGAGTAATGACCCGACTCCTGGCTTCCTGATCGGCCGGGAAGCTGGCTTCTTGGCCAATCAGCATAGTCAGCCGAACAGCCGGCTCCATCCCAATTGGCTGGGAAGGCGGCATTCCAGCCAATCAGCATCAAGCCGGCTTCCCGGCCAATCAGCCATAAAGCTTCTCTTCTCAACCGTTATCGGTGCATTCCTAGTAATTACTATGTGGCACATACCAGTTTTTTTTTTATACAGGTGGGAGCTGCAGGAAAGAACAGAGGACGACATTGGTAATGCTGACATTTGTCACTGGTTGCTAGGACCGCTGAGTGGTCATAGCAACCAATGACGGCAAAGGAGGAGGACTCCTGACATGATTGGTTGCTAGGACCGCCCATTCAGCCTTTATATTGGTCCATTTGTTATTTTGAAAAGCCAAAATAACTGGAAAACAGTGAAAAAAAATAAAAGCACTTTCGGCTTCAACCAATTGATTTTTTTGCATTAATCATCATGGTCTGTATTAGTGGAGGCGTGGCAGGAGGCGTGACCTTTGCCTAAATACTTTGGTAATACTGTGTCCCTCTTTCCAATCTCGCATAGTTGGGATGTGTGATCAGAAAATAGTGAAAGGGCCAGCAGTCTCTAAAAGTCTCACACAAGTCCGAGGTAAATAAAAAAAAAAGCCTCATATATGTTTAATAAGCGCATAATATCTCTCTGCAATCATTTGATTGGAAGTTGGTTCTTCTCTTTGTTGATAGCGGGAGTGGTAATAGTTCTACGTGTTTCACACTCAGTGCGCTTCTTCAGGAACTCGATGTTGGAGGAAATCCAATCAGAAAGCAATCAGCATTCACGGGTAAAGCGTGGGACCCAAGATCCCACAAGTGAGGAGCGGGAAAGCCCAGGCAAAGGATGAGCAGCCAAACACAAAACGAACCTCTCAAGGACTGGTAGTGAGATATCCCTTTCAAAACCTACAGCTCTTATAGCCTGGAGATTTCAAGAATCCAGCATCAAGGTACACAGGTTCGTCCCGTCCCGCTGCCGGTCATGTCAGAACCGCTCGCTGATGATGCTCACATAGAGTTCCTGAAGAAGTGCACTAAGTATGAAACGCGTAGAACTATTACCACTCCAGCCATCAACAAAGAAACAACTTCAAATCAAATGACTGCAGAGAGATATTATGCGGTCACTTCTCCAAGTTTCTTGGAGTAAAATTAGGGGGGAGGGGGGTATTTGGAGGTATATACAACCTTATATATCAAAGAAAACAATCAGAATGTCAACTAAATACTGCAACAATTTTTATTTATTCCAGTTTTAATCATGTTATAAAATAAAAAGATACATTTTCTAGATGATCTTGATGTAACTGTTTTTTGGCTGTCATTAAAGGAGATCTATGAGGTTAGTGATTTCCACTCATCCTCTTAGAGCCGACGTGCGACAAAGAAGCTGTCACGGGTCAGCTCTATTGATCGGGAAGTGGGCAGAAACATGCCACCGATCAGCTCCCTTTTTTATAGTCTCTCTGCAGTGATCGGTAACACCGCTCCCCGCAGGGATTCCCCCCTCCCATCCCTCAGCGCTGGAGGAACGGACGGGGGCGGGCACAGCTGGTTCTACCTCTAGATCGGCAGAGCCAGCTGTCACTCACGCAGCTGGGTGGATATCGACAGCATTGTCTCGATCTGTCATGGCTGTGGCGCTCTCAGTATATCGGAGGCAATAGCTCGCTATATACTGAGCTTTGGGTCACAGGAGGTGGTTAGTATATGTCCTCCTGTGATCCTCAAGAGAACTATGACACTAAAACACTTACCCCATAGTTCTCTTTTAAGCACCTAAAAAGCCCCAAACTACTTTTTCTTTACCCAGATACATATAAATGCTTTTACAAAGGCTTTTTAAATGCATATAAAAGCATCTGCCTTGCACATTGCACAAATGAGGCCTAAGGCCCCATTCACATGAGGAAAGATCTGTCCATGGATCCTCACCTGATTAGAGCAGTACAGAGCAGATGTCACCACTGCGACACCTGTGTCTGTACAGTTTTTTTTCTTTCGAGTGACAGAGGAAAAAAACTGCAATTACCGGACCCCATGTCTGTATATAGGGAATCGGATGTAAACGGACATGTCTGTAAAAATAAGTCATGGCAACTGGACTTGCTGAATTTTTCTTAGACGTTTCACTGGTCATCCGTCCAGCTTTCTCAATTCAGGATTGAGAAAGCTGGTTGGATGACCAGTGAAACGTCTTCAAGAAAAATACAGCAAGCCCAGTTGCCTTGACTTATTTTTTACAGACATACCATGACCTGGATGAATGAGAACCTTCACAGACATAAACGGACATGTGTAATTCTAAGAAAGGGAAGGGGAGAGGGGTGTTGGAATCACAGAACATATTCTACCATGTCACTTTTTTGTTCCTAAGCATAGGCTCATAATTCCTTACTCACAATGCAACTGTCAATTCATGAACGGTCAACTCATCCCTCCCAGGAAAACACAAAGTCCACAAAAAAGAAGACACTTGAACAAACAGCTTATTTTAAAAATATTACTTTTATTGTTCTGTAAGGAGTTGTAGGAGGTGCAGGAATGATAGAAAGAGATGCTGCCCCCTGACATTTCTCCTGGCGGGCCGCTGGTATAAAAAGATGAGACAAGGAATGTTACAGACTTCATGGTAACAATCAGCAACCTTTATTTCGAAGACAAGAAAAAAAAACTGCAAATATAAGGTTTTGCTAGGTGAATATATATTTATATCATAAATCCCCCTAAATTAAGTAAATAGTAACCCTCTTAAAGTTTTATTATAATTTTTTTTTTTTGGTCCTTAAAAAAAGGAAAAATAAAAACCGTGACAGGGCCAGAAAAGCGACAAGAAAAAGTTTTGAAAGCTCTCATGATGTGAAGTTCAGGAATGTAGAAGGGGGGGAGGGGTGTATACCAAAGAAAATAAGTCCGTCACCAAAATATGACACAAATTGTGGAATGTAATGATACATCAGAAGGTGGTCACCAGGGGGGCGACACAATGCAGCAGGGATGTCGGTCTGATGTTTGGATTCTACTTCATTCCTCCAAACACCTCAAACATGATTGGTAAAAAAAAGTGGAATGACAGGATTCCCCCCTGGTGGCTTGTTGTAGGTTCTTGTAACAGATCTTATAATATAATACCAGCTGCCTCTGATAAGCAGAAGAAAAATAATAAAGGAGTCCCCCCTCTGGAAATATGTGATAAAATAGCTGGGGAAGGTGAAGCACCCCCTTTTAATGGATCTCTCCCCTGCCTGCAGTGTGGAGCCCTATATGTTGCGATGTCGCCAAGGAAACGGTGATGAACGAGGGAAGAACAGTCGCAGGAATGGTTAGGAACCCTGTGTGACGGAGGCTAGGACCAGGCACCTCACACATGGGCTTGTAGGACCAGGAATAAATAACCCAAGGGAGGGAGGGAGGGGTCTGTGGAGAATCTGTACAGGGTGCAATATATGAAAGGTTACCCAGAAGCGCAGTCTACGTGCCAGCGGTGTATGGAAGCACCCCTGCCCCTTAGCCGTTGCATAGATAGCTTTGCAGAGGGGGGAGGAGCGGTCCTGCAGCTTCTGATATGCCTTCTCCTCCCTCCTTGCAAAGGGAATGATAAGCTCATTTGATCCCCTCCCTCTCTCCCCTAATAGGGCGATGCTAGTAAAGGCCAGCGTCCCCCCCTAGTCCCTCCGAAGCTTCACCCCTTCAGCAGTTAGAGGCATTAGTAGCTGATGGAGGGCAGTAGGGCAGTGTTGATCTCTTTCCCCATCATGCTCACAGGTCACTCTCGCCGTACAACGCAGTAGAAAAGGACATGTAATCCAAAGCTCCAGGCGCTGCGTCCGGCCCGTGGAAGGGTGCCATGCGAGAGATGCAGTATTCTGCTTGGTCTGGTGGAAGCTCCCGACGTAGCTCTGCTGCTGTGATGTAATTCTGTACAGAATGTGGAGAAATAAATTACCATTGGATAAAAAACAAGGGTATAGAAGGCATCAGAATATCTACAACCTACAAATGGAGACAACGCAGAGGCCAGCATTTCCTATACCAGTAAACCAACAGACTAAAAGGACCAATTAATAAAAATATAGCAGTATTTGCTACTTTTTCTCAGTGCAGACAAGAAAACTTGAACGGGGGGGGGCTTTAAAGGCTTCCTGCACTTTGGGGGATCATTTATATTTGCCTCCTTGAACCTATGAGAATACAGAAGCCTATAGTAATTGAGGACTGGAACTAGTACTTGGAATTATTGGCCATCCACAGACACCTCAGTACAAAGATGGTTATTAGGAATTGTATTATAAATATAGTCTGCATCATGTAGAATTGTCAGAGAAGTATTCTGCCTATACATCTTTTTCCTTTAAGGCAAAATCAATTGTGGGATCATTTGGAGAAGTCAGGGACTGCATGTGAAGTCCTCCTCATCATTAATATTTCGTCAGTCTCTATAGACTGAACTTGGTAAATGGTGAAATATGTTATTCATTCTATAGGGCAGTGGACTATCTTACAGCCTCTGAGCACTCTCTCAGCAATATAGGGGCCAGTGTTATTATTATACAGGATTTATAGAGCGCCAACAGTTTGTGCAGCGCTTTACAATATAGGGAAGACATTACAATCACAATACAAATAAAGACAAGATGGTGAGAGCCCTGCCCCTGAGGGCTTGCAATCTAAAAGGGAGGGGGAAGTGATGCATGAGGAGGGTTGATGGACTTCGATGGGTAAATACAGAGTACATTTTACCACTGTGTGAGATGCCTCTGAGATCATTCAGAATTTACTGCAGGTGCATTTGACCGGCTTCAAGCTGCTTTTGCATACCCGTAGACTTGCATAGGGAAAGAAGCCGTACTAAAGCAAAGCGCACAAAAGCTCGTCAATACTGGCCCTAAAGCTGCAATTCTCTGCCAGACTGGGCTACTTAACACACTGTAAAGCAGAAATAAACCCATTGATTTAACAATTTCCCAAAACACGAACATTTAAGGCATGTCTAGGGTGAGAACGGTCAAAGCCCTCAAATAGCTGATCGCATGTGCAGCAACCCGGCAACTGCAGATCTACAGAGTCTAAGATGGCTGAATCCGATGCAGATTTGGCAAAGCACAACCTACAGTTATGGTCATTTGGTATTAATATACAAACACATTCAGGGGGGGAGCAACAGGAGTGGTTGAGATAATTGCCGCATATGTGTGGCGACCTAGACCCTTTAACACAACCTTCTATCAAAGCTGTTTGCCATCAAAGCAGATATTTGATAGTCAGGTGTGACCAATAAAGGGAAGGCGTTATCAAGGTCGATAGGGACCTTTCTTGCTCAACAATCCACCCAGCCTATATGACCTTGCCAGAATTTAAAGAATATGTATGAGAAACAAGTACAAGGTCCAGTACAAGTTACAAGTTACAACTCAGCTTACCTTGTCTCCAGCAAGGACCTTGAAAGATGCAATAACTTGGTCCGCAGTATCTGTGTCTGTGGTCTCCCTTGACATAAAGTCAATGAAAGCTTGGAAGGTCACCATGCCTGAATTGTTGGGATCAACATTTGCCATGATGCGGTTAAATTCTACGTCACCCTACAAGAAAAGCACAATGGAAAGCTCAGTCAGAGAACTGAAATACTCAGATCAAATGATGGTCACACTGGGAGAAGTCACAGGTGGACACCAGGAGGAACCACGGAGGGACAGAGAAGTGAGAAGCATACCAAGCTGTATCCCGTAGAGATAAGAAGAGCTCGAAAGTCATCCAATTCCAGAGCGGCAACTCTCTTCTTCTTTAAAGAGCAATAAAACAAAGATGGAGAAAGGAAAAAGGTTCCAGCAAAGAGAAAAAGGTGGGAAATGTTTGAAGACAAAAAGATAAATTAATGCAAAAAAGGGAGAAAAGAAATGGAGCACCAACTCCAATATAAAGCAGAGAAGGAGGTGGGAGGGAAGATAGACAGTTTGAGGAAACAAATGATAGAAAGCGAGAGAAAGACACAAAGCGACAGCGTTAGTTTGGATTTAGCTTGGCAGTTTGGTACCTGTCTTTCATTTTCCACATCATAGCCCAGACTGATGAGACAAGCTTTGAATTCTTCAGGTCCCAGAGCACCCGTATGGTCCTGTGATGGGGTAGAATATGGTAGGAGAGGGAGCATGTGGATCCAGAAGGCAAGCAGTGGTGAGCGGGAGACGGAGGCAGTGAAATGGCGTGGAGGCGATGGGTGATGGACGAGATTGATGGAAGAGAAACAGAACATTACGTTACAGAATGCTTAACATGATTGGGAGATTTGGGACAAATGGGAGATGTAGTCTGACTTGTGCTGACAACACTGGAGAGTGGCCTTCTGGGACAGGATGGGAAGGAAGTGACACATTAAAGAGTTTATGAAATGGGGATCCTACCATTTATCTACTCTTTTCATATAAAGTCTAAGCTACATAGAGGATTGCCAGTCTCTATACAGTTACTTCCAACTAAACAGATTCCCACATTCACTAACACATCATCAACCTCTACTTGTCACATGTTGCTGTCATTAATCCTGCCAATCTGCTTGCTAATAACTGCAGGTGACCATTGTAACTATTACGTATATTTCTAAGCAATATATTACAAATACTGCCCATACACCACCATACATACAGAAAAATCTCATACAACAATCATGGAGGACACACAGGAACTCCCTCATTTGCTACCCTCTAAGTGAATTGCTAAAATTATGTATGACCAAGCCTTGCTCTTTCCTGCATAACCTGTGAAAGTGATGCTCACCTTGTCAAAGTGGTTGAAGGATGCTCTGAACTCGTGCATTTGCTCCTGACTGATGCCCTTGGCATCCCTTGTTAGGATCTGATTCTCCACCTCATTGATGGTTCTAGCAATGGTGGTGAGGAGATGCTCCCAGCCGACACGAATGTGCTGCAGAAACAGAAGGTTCATTGTTACCAACCAGAAAAAAAATAAAGACTTTTTAGAATAAATGAATCCAACTGAGTCTCACCTCCATGGTGTAGTTGGTGTGCTTGTTATCAAAGATGAGGGCTTCCTGAATGAGCTGGTGCTGCTGCTCCATTCTGTCTATGTTAGGCTTGTGGTTTATGACGCTCTGTTCGTACTGCTTCAGATGGCTCATCTGGTCCTCCAGAGTGCCATGCATTTCAATGGCAATCCTTCCAATTTCCTGCAGACATGAGAGAAAGCAGTGATTATCAGCTGGGACAAAGACACCATAACCCTGGCACTGCGAGTACACACGGGCACAAACAATGTCACTTTTATTGCAGTTATTAAATGTTTACTAAAAATAAAATAAATGAAGCCCTTTGCTGCTCTCATCTCCTGCTGGGAACAAAAAGTCCTGCGTAATCCAAGTCTCTGGAGCTCATACAGGGCTATGGACTCCCCATGTGACAATACTCACTGGCTCACCAATGTCACATGGAGTAACAGGCTCCTCCATACTGGAAAATAAGTCATATCTTTGGGCTCCTGGCATGAATGGGGTTCAAAAAAGGCGGATATATGATGTTGGGTATGGGAGGAAAACACTGATGTAACAATGCTGAAGTGCAGCACAACCACCAATGGCTACACATTAAAGCACTACTTGAGCTCTGTGCAAGGGAAAGGAGGAGGAGAGATGCAGTGCCCTGCTGTCTCCTACATCCCTTATTTCCCCGCTTTATGGACAAGGTGAAAGAGCAGAGTGAATGTTATGTAGACATCACTCGGCAGCTGCAAGTTTGAGCAATCTGTACAAAACAAGAAGGTGGCTAAGCTTAGGACCAATGTTTAATTATTAAAGTGCACAGAACTGTCACTTGCCCACTCTTAGCATAGCACACAGGGGTAAATGAGTCAAATGGAGAGACAGAAGTCAGGAAAGACTGGGGCACAACCTGTATGCTTAGTAAACAAAAAGGTTACTGCTTTATTTTTGATCTGATATGAGTCAACAGTCACTTTTTCAGTTGTGATATGCAGTGGATTCAAGTCAGAAGAGGAATGTCTGCAGCAAAGCCGAGATCAGATCAGATACTGGAAAACTTCCAACCACCACCTAGTTGCTCAAATTCCTAAATAACTATTTAGCTGCTCAAGACATAAGGAAACTCCTTGAAAAAATGAAGGATATATTACAAAATAAACCCAAAACAAACCAATATCATAAGACACTATAAATGACCAATTAGGAAAGATTCTGCAGTTCCAGCTCTCTGCACTAGATGGCGATGTTCTACTGTTTCCAAGCTGCCACCACCCGTCAGACTTTAAACACAGGATGTCAAATAAGGTCTGACTAGCTAAAACAATGGAGGGTTTTCCTCTATAGGAAGGGAAGGAAGCAGCCAAGACAGCACCATGCATGTTGCTACATACCTCCATCTTGCTTTGGATCCAAGGTCCCTCCACATTAGCTAGGCTGGCAAACTCCAGACGCAAGCGCTCGTTGGACTGTTGCTTGTCCTGCTCTGTCGTCAAAGCATTGTCTCTCTTTGGGACCAGCTGCTGTACCTGAAATTGATCATTTTGCATTAGAATCGGCTCCTGTACCCAGGCGACCTCACGCTCATCATTCTAGAGTCACCTACCTTGTCCCATTTGGAATTAATTATTTCTGGAGTAACCGTGGTGTAAGGGTTTCCACCGGACAACTTAATGTTGTTATAATCGGCGATCTTCTGGATCTGGCGTTGGATGTCAAGGATGGCTTCCCTCTCTCGGTCTGCATCTGGCAGAGTGGATTTAAACTGGCCGTGGGCTGTGATTAGGCCCTGTAATGGACAAATCAAAAATAGCATGTTTTCTCCTGCACAATGTTTCCCATACTGAGCAAATAGATTATTCAACTTGGCTGTAAAGCGTGCCACAAAGTCTCGAAAATTCAACTTGAGTACATGACAGTGGTTAAGCTCAACCTCACTGCCTCCTGAGCCTTCCTTAAAGATCTATAATGCCATAGATCGTCTGTCTGACCAAGAGGGAGATTTGAAAGGGGG